CCTGTTATTCAATTTACTTGCGTCGCTTTTAACACAGAAAAAAAAAAGCTTTTACCTTTTTTCTAACTCCATTGTTCTCTTTATCGCTTTGGAGTCGCTAGTTCATTCTACAGCCAGAGCACGTACTCGCTGGTAAATCACAAGACTCGGCTCTAACCCTTAATCATAATGATTGCAGAAGAATTCAACTTACTGGTACACAACAACTCAATTCAACGTGTCAATTTTGAGACTTCTTGGTAATTTCAACGATGAAAAAAAACGTCTTTGAGGCACAAAAGTTGATATTAGACTTTTGTACCAAGTCTGTGAAACAAAATAATTCGTTTAACGTCCCGCTTGAGTTCAATTACACAATCAAATAGTAATTAAAGCGTCTAACGATCCATTAACTATAATTTAGAATTTTATGAATGGATCGACTTTTTAAGTAAGCGTACACTTAATTGCACTTTCAACCAGCACTCGGCATTTATACTAGTTAAAGTCGTCAAAGAAATCACGTTTTTGATTCTCAATTTTGAGACAACATTTTCTTGTATGATATTTTACATACACTTTTTCGTGTTACCACGTGCTCCGATCAGAGCTATATTTTTTAACCCTGAACAAAACGCCGGGCGGTAAGATTCAAAGGTGTATAGCGATTTCATTCTATACTTTAATCAAGTCAGTGAAGCCTATAACTACGGCCGATTGAACAGTTTTTTTTTTTTTTTCATTTTTTTCATTAGAATATGGCGAGGTACTTATAGAGATAGGATTTCGTTTTTTCAGTTTTAGAACGCGTTCAACAATGTCGTTTTGGGAACGTGCATCTTCCACAGCAAGTGGCCAAACGTGCAAAAAGGCACGATCTTTGCCTGACTGAAGCAAGGTATAATTGCCGGTTCAGTTGCTCCAAAAAACCACAGAATAGAATTGACACTCATACATACACCTCCACTCTCAATAACTGTTAAAAAAGCAAGGACTGGAAATTCTGAATTCCCTACTCTCTAGCGATATGATAACTATTATATGTCAATTTGTTCCGATCAGTACATTTCGGTTTGCAGTCAAAGGTTTCGTCGAAATCATCCAACCTGATCTAAAATGTACAATGAATGTACAGTGGAAAACCAGAAAAGCATTGCAAACTGGGACTACAGAAGCAAGGAAAACAAAGAGACTAAAACCGAAATATTGAAATACGTATTTACACAAACTTCTTTATTGCCACTCACTACATTACGAAATTAAAGTGATTGGACAGCAAAACGTAGAACAATTTAAACAGGCCACATAGTTTGAGCAACATCCATGTATAGCTCGACTAAATGTCTTGAAATTGTTATTTTGGCAGTCGGCATTGGCTCCGTCGTCAAAAGTTTAATGAGTTTACTGAGTTTCATTTAACTTTATTCTAGCCATTTGACAAGAGTGTCGGCACTGTGAAGGAAGAAAGTGATTCAGCAAAGGGCTCTTTTTGATGGTGACGCAAAAACTCTCTTTCCCAAGAAAAGAAAACATCTACAAGATATCTGTATTTGTTAAACGCAAAGCAATACCTTTATTTTTAACAATATTAGTTTATCATTCATGAGGTGAAAATGCGTTTGTTGCTAGTCAAGACAGAGTTGAAGGGTTGAAATTGCGCGATCTTAACCTGTATGTGTGGTAATTATATCAAGGCTTGTTTAGTTGCAATTAGACTGATCCGATCCTCACTCCTCTATCTCCACGTTTCAAAGTTCCAATCCCGCTCTTCCAACTGCAGTTGTCGCGATTACTTTAAACAACATGGTTGGCTTAACACAGTTAAGGCAAGATGCTATACTCAGTGCAAAGCATCTTGATCATCTTGTGTTCATGCGTTTATTTTCCATTAGATTGTTTAGCTTCACTAAACAAATACCTATACTATAACCAATGCAATTTTGGTCTTGCTTACCTCAAAATGCAAAACAGTTCAATGTTTTGTACTTGCCACCGTTCATTAACAAAGCGGAAATTCGTGGTAACAGAACCGTGACTTTTTTTCCGCTTTCTCTGAATGTAATCTCAAAACACATACCAATACTTGTTCATAAAAGCTGCAAGCTTTGAGAGGTAGAGCAATGAGGTACTTTATCCTACCTTGCTATTTCCTTGTGGCTTGCACCGAAGTGCTTCTAGGAGATGAAATCACCGCAAACGAGCTCCATAAAAGAGGTACGGGGTCAAAATGTACTTTTTCAGTTTGCTAATACCATTTTTAAAGAATTTTACTGATCTCGGGCACAATTTAGTATGAGAGACATTGTTCAAGTGTAAAGTTTTGTTTGTCATGTCACAAAAAAAGTAAACGAAGTTGTTTTCGGTAAGTTAAGTGTTTTCCTTGCACTTGTCAAGAGCAAATTGGCATACGGCGGGGTTTGAATTGCAGGTACATTTGCGATTGCGACAGATCTACTTGTCAGGATAAGAGTGAGTGTACAATTAAGAGTGACAAATGTCATAGTGCACACCTGCCCTCAGGGGGTGCTTGAGATTTTAGTCAAGGTTTGATCACCGATCACCACTAATTTGGTTCTTTAAGATTTATAAAAGCCGAAGTGACTGGTTTATGCGTCCCTCTTTGACAATTATTGCGGCCGGAATGAACTTTGGCAATAAACTCGCCATTGAAATCCTCAATCTAGTCACTGCTTAGCTCAAGAACATCGGAGCTGACATGGGCCGTCGTTGTTGGTGAGCTGTAAGTGCTTAATAGCTCATATTCAGCAATTTTTCTCTATCAGCTTTGTTTGGAGTTAAAACTGCGATGCCTTAAATCAGATAAAGGATTGTAAAGTAGATTTCTGGCGAACAACTAATGCACAAGGTTGAAAGTTCTAGATCGTGACAATAATGCAGAATTTTTGTCCGCGATTGAAACAATACATGGTTGCTAGGAGGATAAAGTTTACCTAAATCAATTATCTTAAATGTTCACATAACTTAAGGGAATGAGGTTGCGCATAAGTTACTGCTTTGAAAGTAACATTTAATTTACTGAGCCGTGCTACAAGCACATAAAGCAGACTGAAAATGGAAAGCAGTGGTAAGCAAACGAGGGAAATTTCCAATACGCTGCTGAAAACTATAGCTCTGTTTACAATATAAAGTATAGTTCTTTGACCGACCTTGCTCAGTGCAAAGCATCTTGATCAAATCGTGTTCATGCGTTTATTTTCCAGCTGATTGTTTGGCTTCACTAAACGAATACCTATACTATAACCAATGTAGTCTTTGTCTTGCTTACCTCAACATGCAAAGCAGTTACATGTCTTGGGCTTGTTTTAACCGTTCATTCAACAAAGCGGAAATTCGTGGTAACCGAACCGTGACTTTCTTTCCGCTTTATCTGAATGTAATCTCAAACACATACCAATACTTGTTCATAAAAGCTGCAAGCTTTGAGAGATAGAGTAATGAGGTACTTTATCCTACTTTGCTATTTCCTTGTGGCTTGCACCGAAGTGCTTATAGCAGATAAAATCACTGCAGACGAACTCCATAAAAGACGTACGGGGTCAAAATATACCTTTTTCAGTTTGCTAATACCATTTTTAAAGAATTTTACTGATCTCGGACACGATTTAGTATGAGAGACATTGATCAATTGCAAAGGTTTCTCTGTCATGTGACATTAAAAGTAAACGAAGTTGTTTTCGGTAAGTTGAGTGTTTTCCTTGCACTTTTCAAGAGCAAATTGGCAAATGGCGGGATTTGAATTGCAGGTACATTTGCGGTTGCGACAGACCTAGTTGTTATGATAAGAGCGAGTGTCAGGGTTTAATACAGTACACCTAAGACCGACAAGTCTCATAGTGAACACCTTCCCTCTGGGAGTGGTTGAGATTTTAGTCACGTTTTGACCTTCTATCACCACTGACTTGGTTCTTTAAGATATATAGAAGTGACTGCTTTGTGCGTCCCTCTTTGACAAATATTGCGGTCGGAATGAACTTTGGCAATAAACACGCCATTGAAATCCTCAATCTAGTCATTGCTTAGTTCAAGAACTGGCTCGTTATTGGTGGCTGTAAGTGCTTAGTAGGCCATCAGATTCTGCAATTTTTCTATATCAGCTTTCCTTGGGGTAAACAATGTGATGCCTTAAATCCGATAAAAGATTGTCAAGTAGATTTCTAGCAAAGAATTAACGCACGAGGTTGAAAGTTCTAGATCGTCACAATAATGCAGGAATTTTTTCCGCGATTGGAACAACGCATGTTTGCTAGGAGATTAAAGTTTAGCCAAATCAATTATCTTAAATGCGCATAAGTTACTGCACTAAAAGTAAAATTCCTTTTACTGTGCAGTGCTATAAGCATATGAAAAGGACTGAAACTGGAAAGTAGTGTTAGGCAAACGAGAGAAATTTCCAATACGCTGTTGAAAACTAAGGCTCTGCATACAACAAAGTATAGTTCTTGGGCCAGCACGGAAACAATACCGGATAGGGTTTCTGTTCACACATAAGAAGGGTTTTTTAGGCGCGATTTCAGTGATGGAGGAAAGCTGCGCCGAGCTGATGAAGAAAGTGGAATGTTCTGTGCCACGCTTTGATGAGTGAAAGAAGGGAATTCGGACCGTAGCGGAAGTTAATAAATAGGAGCGAGGACTGAAATCCACTGAGGACTGGGATTTACTTCCCCAAGCCCCCCTCGGCCAACTACTCCGGCACGAAGTTCGATGAGTGTGAAACAATTTGTTCCAATTCTGTGCTGTTGTTGTTCACACTATGCCGGACAGCTTTTCGTGTCATTCTTTTTTGCTGCTATCTAGCTAAGGAGCGAGAGTAAAGTCACTCATAAAGGTCCAAAAAAGAGTTGGAATCGGGCGATGAATAGTCAGTCCAGTTTCTGGAAGCTAAGCGTACCTCGGTAACATTCCTAAATACGTTCCTGTAGGGGAAACAGTTGTTCGTTCTGACCTACTAATCAATTTAATCACTGAAACAACGCAAAGCAAGCCAATGGTTTAATACTTGTTCCTTTACAGTATTGGACCCATGTGTGGGCTACAAGATTTTGAACAGCACTGATCGTCGTGTTGGACATACTGGTCGAAGCCCACTTAGATGCGACCAACCTGAACGCGGACCTTTCACCGAAGGCTGGTATCGCTTCACTGGTGCAGCTGGTGATAGGATGCCCACTAAATGCCCTGCCAAAAATCGCTGTGGTACGCATGCTCCAGGGTGGTTGCAAGGGGTACATCCCACCGTCGCTCAGGGTATAGTCAGTCGGAAAGTTTGTTACCATTGGTCAAGCAGTTGCTGTAATTGGAGTAATAACATTAAGGTCAAGAATTGTGGAGCTTTTTACGTCTATGAACTGAAGAGAACGCCTGTCTGTTGGCTTCGATATTGCGGTGAGTTAAAATCTTCACCCTTGTGATTTTGAAATGTCTTTCTCTCTTCCGAAAACTTGATTATCTAAAAACGTATTGTCACACTATATTGCCAAACACTCGTCCAAACATTTCCCTTAAGTGGTAGGTAAGCAGGACGTTTTGCGTCTTTTTTCAACTGCTTGAATTTACACTGCATGGCTGCTTGTATATAGTAATTTCGGATAAGTAGTGCTTATTTAAAAAAAATCCATTTGTTGAATTTCAATTGACTTGTTTGCAGGAATACCCAATGAATGTGAGGACTATGAAACGCTCAACCAACCTGACCGCGCAATGGGCAATACCGACCAGAGCAGACTGCGATGCGATCAAAGAGCACCAGACAACATCGTGGATGGTAAATGGCATCGTCTGATAGGCAATAGTGGTACTAAGATTCCAGAATCATGTGTTCCCATGAGAAGATGCGGAACACATGCTCCTGGCTGGCTTAACGGTTCCCACCCGCAACTCCAGGAAGGTCAAGTGAACCGTAAAGTTTGTTATCACTGGTCGAGCAGGTGCTGTAATTGGCAAAACAACATCAAGGTCCGAAGCTGTGGTGATTTTTATGTGTATAACTTAATCAAGCCTCCACATTGTTGGCTGCGTTACTGTGGAGACAATAATACAGGTCAGTGTAAAACTCTGACACAATTTTCTTACAATCATTTTTTTTTTGTCCATTTTATTTTGCTGGAGCCCCAGGATAAATGTCGAGGACAACAGAATAGCTTGTGCAGGTTATTGCTAGCCCGAAACAAATAGTCCTTTCCTAAGACATGTACACCCCTTGATAATTACTACACGACTGAGAAAAGTAAGCTTTTTTTCAGATGTTTAAATCTTTGGTGTCTAAATGTCGCCTCGGAAAGAAATGGATGCCCAAGTGCACAAATGGAGATTAACTGACAACCCTGGCATAAAATTAACAGTGAACGCTTTTAGTTGTTCTCCACATCTTACATTCGGACCAGAAAACGTGCTTTCGATCTTGATCCTTTTATCATAGAAAAATTGCTTCTTAAGAATAGACGTTTCTGTTATTTTAGTTTTCTTTTTCAATCCAATTTTTGACAAAAGATACACCTCTTAGGATAAATCACGTAAGGCACAAGACAACGCTGTGCTCTAGGAAAAGTTGAAGGGAGCCCAGTGCTCAGAACTTGTGAAATCTAGGGTGCCCAGCATATGATTTGTATGAAAGAGCTAAGATTTTCTAGTCGCCCGAGAACAAAAGTCAGGTGCTAGGGGCCACTGGGCTCTACTAGAGCACTACCTTGCAAGGGATACGCCTAAAAATTTCCATTTAATAGGAGATACTCCAGATATTCAACAGATAAATTACTTGTTTTTTTGTAGGAGCACCCATCACATTACCTACCACATTGCCACCGCCAACAACAACTCCAGGTTTGTACTTTTTATCCTTAACCCGATTGGCATCTCCCTGTAGTTTTTATGTTTTGCGTTAAAAAAAAAAACAATTAAAAGAACAACAACAACAACAACAACAACAACGATCACATCTTACGGCTAAAGTGTCGCGCATGGAAAAACACCTAAATTCCAAAAAAAAAAAAGAACAAACAGACAAAAACAAACACTTTTAAAATATTACCACACGACCTTAAGGATTTTGATCAAGAAATTTAAACAAATATTTATCTAAAATAGCATTATTTGGCTTACTTGATCGTCTGGAAAAAGATTAAAATTCTTAAATTTACAAGACGTCGTGAATATTCTTTGTTAATTATCTCCACAAATCGCTCCAAAGCTAATAACGTAACTAAAAGTTGTTATCATTATTTTTTTAAGCTATTAAAAATAGCATCTCTGAACACTAATATATAGCAAAGCAAAATTAGCCAGCTCTAAAAATTTGACCTCGATATCCTAAATAAATTGGGGGAAATTCTGTTTTAAAAATGCAATGATAATTCTTACAAATGATGTAAAACTCATTAAGGTGCCTACCACACATCAAGTCTGAAGTCTTCAATCGCTGAAATTTTGTTAGATATTGCCTATTGCAATGAGCTAAAAATTTGATTACTCCCAGATTCAGCCATTTGTATGCAATTTAGATATATAGCGACCCCTTGTATGAGGTAACAAACCCTGAAGTCAAGATGAATCTGCCTTTATGTCGCCCTTTTGTTATTCACGTTACAGTCACAAAAAGGCTTTTTTCTAATATTAAAAGCAAATATTACAAGAAATATATTTTTAAATTATTGTTTTAATTTGGTTTTCTGCTTTCGTCTTTTTAAAGCACCTGATCCATGTAACAGTTACAAGCTTCTTAACAACATTAACCGTCGTGTGGGATACACTGGTCAAAGCCCACTAGGATGCGATCAGCCTGGCCGTGGATTTACCGAAGGCTGGTATCGCTTCACTGGTGCAGCTGGTGTTAGGATGCCCACCAAATGCCCAGCTAAACGTCGCTGTGGTACGCATGCTCCAGGGTGGCTGGAAGGAGGTCATCCTACCGTGGCTCAGGGGATAGCAAGTCGTAAAGTTTGTTACCATTGGTCAAGCGGCTGCTGTCAATGGAGTAATTACATTAGAGTTAGGAATTGTGGAGCTTTTTACGTCTATGAACTGAAGAGGACGCCTGCCTGTTCGCTTCGATATTGCGGTGAGTTAAAATCTTTACCCATGTGATTTTCAAATCACTTTCTTTCTTCCCAAATCTTTGATATACAGGGTTTCGAGAAAAGAACTGTCCCAATATATCGCTAGACATTTGTCCAAAAACTCTTCCTAAGCTGCAGGTAAGAAGGACGCGTTTTGCGTCTTTTTCCAATTGCTTGAATTTACCGGCACTACATGGATGTTTGTATGTTGTCATTTTGGATAAGTAGTGTCTATTAAAAAAAAAAAATCCCTTCAGTTGAATTCAAACTGATTTGTTTGCAGGAATACCCAATGAATGTGAGGACTATGAAACGCTCAGCCAACCTGACCGTGCAATGGGCAATACCGACCAGAGCAGACTGCGATGCGATCAAAGAGCACCAGACAACATCGTGGATGGTAAATGGCATCGCCTGATAGGCAGTAGTGGTACTAAGATTCCAGAAACATGTGTTCCCATGAGAAGATGCGGAACACATGCTCCTGGTTGGCTTAACGGTACCCACCCTCAACTCCAGGAAGGTCAAGTGAACCGTAAAGTTTGTTATCACTGGTCGAGCAGGTGCTGCAATTGGCAAAACAACATCAAAGTCCGAAGCTGTGGTGATTTTTATGTGTATAACTTAATCAAGCCTCCACATTGTTGGCTGCGTTACTGTGGAGACAATAATACAGGTCAGTTTAAAACTCTGATACAATTTTCTTGTAATCATTTTTTTTTATATTGCCCATTTTGTTTTGCTGGAGCCCCAGGATAAATGTCGAGGGCAACAGAATAGCTTGTGCAGGTTATTGCTAGCCCGAAACAAATAGTCCTTTCCTAAGACATGTACATCCCTTGATAATTACTACACGACTGAGAAAAGTAAGCTTTTTTTCAGATGTTCAAATCTTTGGTTCTAAATGTCGCTGCGGAAAGAAATGGATGCCCAAGTGGAAAAATGGAGATGAACTGACAACCCTGGCATAAAATTAACAGTGAACGCTTTTAGTTGTTCTCCACATTTTACATTCGGACCAGAAAACGTGCTTTCGATCTTGATCCTTTTATCATAGAAAAATTGCTTCTTAAGAATAGACGTTTCTTTTATTTTAGTTTTCTTTTTCAATCCAATTTTTGACAAAAGATACACCTCTTAGGATGAATCACGTAAGGCACAAGACAACGCTGTGCTCTAAGAAAAGTTGAAGGGAGCCCAGTGCTCAGAACTTGTGAAATCTAGGTGCCCAGCATATGATTTTTATGAAAGAGCTAAGATTTTCTAGTCGCCCGAGAACAAAAGTCAGGTGCTAGGGGCCACTGGGCTCTGCTAGAGCACTACCTTGCAAGGGATACGACTAAAAATTTCCATTTAATAGGAGATACTCCAGATATTCAACAGATAAATAACTTGTTTTTTGTAGGATCACCCATCACATTGCCTACCACATTGCCACCGCCAACAACAACTCCAGGTTTGTACTTTTTATCCTTAACCCGAGTGGCATCTCCCTGTAGATTTTATGTTTTCCCTTAAAAAAAAAAAACGCAATTAAAAGAACAACAACAACAACAACAACGATCACATCTTACGGCTAAAGGGTCGCGCAAGGAAAAACACCTAAATTCTAAAAAAAAAAAGAACAAACAAACAAAAACAAACACTTTTAAAATATTACCAGACTACCTTAAGGATGTTGACCAAGAAATTTAAACAAATATTTATCTAAAATAACATTATTTGGCTTACTTGATCGTCTGGAAAAAGATTAACATTCTTGAGTTTAAAAGACGTCGTGAAAATTGTTTGTTAGTTATCTCCACAAATCGCTCCAAAGCTAATAACGTAACTAAAGGTTGTTATCATTATTTTTTAAGCTATTAAAAATAGCATCTCTGAGCACTAATATATAGCAAAGCAAAATTAGCCAGCTCTAAAAATTTGACCTCGATATCCTAAATAAATTGGGGAAATTCTGTTTTAAAAATACAATGATAATTCTTACAAATGATGTATAACTCATTAAGGTGCCTACCACACATCAAGTCTGAAGTCTTTAATCGCTGAAATTTTGTTAGATATTGCCTATTGCAATGAGCTTAAAATTTGATTGCTCCCAGATTCAGCCATTTGTATGCAATTTAGATATATAGCGACCCCTTGTATGAGGAAACAAACCCTAAAGTCAAGATGAATCTGCCTTTATGTCGCCCTTTTGTTATTCACGTTACAGTCACCACAAAGGCTTTTTTTCTAATACCAATAACAAATATTGCAAGAAATATTTTTTTAAATTATTGTTTTAATTTGGTTTTCTGCTTTCGTCTTTTTAAAGCACCTGATCCATGTAACAGTTACAAGCTTCTAAACAACATTAACCGTCGTGTGGGATACACTGGTCAAAGCCCACTCGGATGTGATCAGCCTGGCCGTGGATTTACCGAAGGCTGGTATCGCTTCACTGGTGCAGCTGGTGTTAGGATGCCCACCAAATGCCCAGCTAAACGTCGCTGTGGTACGCATGCTCCAGGGTGGCTGGAAGGAGGTCATCCTACCGTGGCTCAGGGGATAGCAAGTCGTAAAGTTTGTTACCATTGGTCAAGTGGGTGCTGTCAATGGAGTAATTACATTAGAGTTAGGAATTGTGGAGCTTTTTACGTCTATGAACTGAAGAGGACGCCTGCCTGTTCGCTTCGATACTGCGGTGAGTTTAAATCCTTACCCAAATCATTTTCAGATACTTCTTTCTTTCTTCCGCCAAACTTTGACATAATTCGAAACTGATCTTCTGCCTCCATTGCAAGAAATTCCCTGGACAATTCTCCTTAATCAAGTTGCAAGTAAACAGAACATTTGCATCCTTTCCAGCTACTTTAAATTACACTACATAGATGTTTTTATGTAAGTCCTGGCGGGTAAGTAGTGTTTATAAAAAAAAATCCCTTCAGTTGAATTCAAACTTATTTGTTTGCAGGAATACCCAATGAATGCGAGGACTATGAAATGCTCAACCAACCTGACCGCGCAATGGGCAATACTGACCAGAGCAGACTGCGATGCGATCAAAGAGCACCAGACAACATCGTGGATGGTAAATGGCATCGCCTGATAGGTAATAGTGGTACTAAGATTCCAGAATCATGTGTTCCCATGAGAAGATGCGGAACACATGCTCCTGGCTGGCTTAACGGTACCCACCCGCAACTCCAGGAAGGTCAAGTGAATCGTAAAGTTTGTTATCACTGGTCGAGCAGGTGCTGCAATTGGCAAAACAACATCAAGGTCCGAAGCTGTGGTGATTTTTATGTGTATAACTTAATCAAGCCTCCACATTGTTGGCTGCGTTACTGTGGAGACAATAATACAGGTCAGTATAAAACTCTGACACATTTCTATTTTATTTGTTTATCTATTTATTTTTACTAGCGTTCTCAGATATTTCAAGAAAAACACAGCAGCATGAGTCACCATCAGTCTCTCGCCCATGTATACATTTTTTCATCAACCAATCTTATTCTTTACAAAAAGAAACTCGTGTGTTCAATCAAGTAATTAAGGGTAAAGGGATAAGGGTTAAAATCCTCCTTAAAGTAGGAAAGTAGATAAACAATCTAATTAAGTCACTTGTTTGATTGTTTTTCTTTGCAGGATCACCTATTACATCGCCCCCTCCAACAACTACAAAAGGTATATAAAGAACATTAAAATACAATCCCAAGGCCAAAATGCAATTGTTCTCTTCACAAATCTTCGTACACTACAGCGCTTATCTGTTTATGGGCCGAGCTTTATATTCTTATCCCATACTGGGTCCCTCTATCACAGAGGGCAATGTTTAACGCTGCTCGTGTGGTCACTGATTCGAGTAGAGTAGGAGGTTTTTGGTATAAACATACTGGCCTCTCCTTTTTCTTCGTTTATATTATGAGTATAAAAGCATAAGAACGTCAACCTAAACTTATAGTGAAAGGAAATTAACTTGTTATCAATCGATTTTTAGGAAGCATATTTGTGATTCCGGGACTGAGGACAGATTGTTGATAACTCTTGTAATTACTCTTGTTTACGTATCATGATGGTGTCCCTTTTTTCCAGACTAAGTACATCCTTGTTAAAAGAATGAAATCTTCCTCTTCTGCTTCTCTCTAAAATTAAATGGGACATATGTTTTTTTTGTTTACGTATTTTTGGGTACTATCAATACATAATAACAATAATAATAATAATAATAATAATAATAATAATAACACTAAAAATAACAATAAAACAACACTTAAATATCTTTCTTTTTGTTTTCTCCACAGCACCAACTACAACACCAGGTATAAAATGGTTCCATACTTTCAGTTATTGCGCTTTTCAGTAACACGCGAGTTGTAAACTTTATACGCCAGCTTACAATTGCTTTTTTCGCTCAGCCGTCATTGCGGCATAATTACGATCACAAGCTACGAACCTTAAAACACGACACAAAACGGATGGAAATCCACCAATAACAAGTCAAAAACCATGACCTCTTGAAATCGTTCAAGTCAACCTTAATTTGTTTTCTATAAGGGCGCTAGATGATTAATCGAGCAAAGAACACAAACGCAAGTTGATTTTGAACTTCAGAGTTCGCGTGTTTGTAAAAAGCTCAGTAAAGGCCTTAAGTTTTCACTGACTAGTGTAAGTTCATCTTATCTATCAAATGCGGGTCGCAGTCCTTGCACAATAAACAGCAACACATCCTTTTAAGCAAGTAGTTACTAAAAAAAATATGCTTTTGAGCTTTCTCTTTCCCGAAGCTAATGTTTTCATGCGTTCTCTTTAGCACCAAATCCATGCAGCAACTATCACGTTCTCGACGGTTTCAACCGTAGTGTGGCAAATACAGATCAAAGGAATTTGAGATGTGACCAGAGACACCTGCATCCTTTGCCAGCTTGGTATCGCTTCAATGGCGAAGCTGGCGACAAAATGCCAACATCCTGTGTACCAAAATTACGCTGTGGTACGCATGCTCCGGGCTGGTTGAACGGTTCACACCCGTCAGTAAGAGAAGGCATTGTCACTCGTCGAGTTTGTTATCATTGGGGTTCCAGATGTTGCAACTGGAAAAACGATATTCAGATCCAAAACTGTGGTGCCTTCTATGTATATCGGTTAGTTAAGCCTCCCACGTGCTGGCTGCGTTACTGTGGTAACAATGCAGGTGAGTTTTTTTGTTTTCGTCCCTTCTAGCTGTTATCGGAAAAGGTCTTGAATTTTATTCGAACATTCGTAGTGAGGGAGTTGAATTAAGCTACAGAATTAAGTGTTTCCAACTGCAAACGTAAGAAGGTGTTCTTATTGTTAAGGAAGATATTTGGTATCTGTTGGGCCAATCGAGCATTCCGTACTGGTTTGTTTTGAGGGATTTAGGTGCTATTACGTTCTTTGAATATACTCATCTCAATGTAAATACGCTTTTGATAAGTAATTTTACTGGCCTCAAAATTATAGATAATGAATAGAATGGTATGTGGAGAGAGAAGAACTTGGAAAATTTTGTTAGTTCCAAATGGGAATCAGTTAAACCTACGACATTCAAGGCACTCTACCTTTCGAAAAAGTGCGAACTATACTTTAAGGGATTCTGATAATCTGCATCCGCTTTTTGTAAATGTAAAGTTTATTCTTTTGACACTCAATTCTGCAAAAGCATCAAACCTTGATATCTTACGTCTGCAATTCTTTTCAGGAACGCCTCCACCACCAACAACGACACCACCTCTACCAACAACAAGACCAGGTATGAAAAACGTGAAATGGTCTCACAGAAACAACATTACACTTTGACATAAAAATTGTTGGTAATGTAAATTTACATTATCATAAACGTATTTGACTAACGCTTTAGAGGAAGAAGCGTTGGCAGACGATCATTTTGTCTTCAGGTTTTGTTTTGTTACATTGCCTGGGGGATCGTAGTTGGCGAGGTTCAGGGAGCAATAATGTCTTGTTGAGTTTTTTGTTGAGTTCCTCTTTGGTCCGAAAGATTTTTTTGGATACTACTTCGGATTGAAACTCTATGTGGGAAAGTGTCTCCAGTTAGTGGGGGACACCAAAGATTTCCATGCAGGTTTATCAGTTCCTGAAAATGTCAAGTGTCCCCATCTCAAAAAAATCAATGAATTTAATTTGTTTCGTTCTCGTTGATTAGTTTAATGCTGCCCAGGTTTATTCATTTTACTGCTTTTGTTTTCTTCAAAATAGCATATATTAATTGTAATAAAAGTCTTGTTGAATTCTCCATAAAGTGAGTTTATATCTCCACTTTCCCTTTTTAGCACCAAATCCATGCAGCAACTATCACGTTCTTGACGGTTTCAACCGTAGTGTGGCAAATACAGATCAAAGGAACTTGAGATGTGACCAGAGACACCTGCATCCTTTGCCAGCCTGGTATCGCTTCACTGGCGAAGCTGGCGACAGAATGCCAACATCCTGTGTACCAAAACGACGCTGTGGTACGCATGCTCCAGGCTGGCTGAACGGTTCCCACCCATCAGTAGGAGAAGGCATTGTTACTCGTCGAGTTTGTTATCATTGGGGTTCCAGATGTTGCAACTGGAAAAACGATATTCAGATCCAAAACTGTGGTGCTTTTTATGTGTATCGGTTAGTTAAGCCTCCTGTTTGTTGGCTGCGTTACTGCGGTAACAATGCAGGTGAGATTTAGTTGTTTCTTTTTTACTTCTAACTGATTTTTTTGGGGACCTCCTAATGTGAATTAGTTGAAAGTGGCAAGTTTGTCCGCATAAAAGGCGATAGTATAGTTAGGTGTGCTATTATGGAGAAGTCTGTACGGAAATTTTGCGGATTGACATTGTTAACGCAATAAATCGTTTTGCTTGTTGAATTTTAAAACGGTTAGACCTTGAGAAACAAGGAAAAAGATGATTAGCTAGTAAATCTTGCATGGCATCGATGATTATAATAACTTATCCTCCTTTTTTAAGAAATGGCTTTGTTCCGTACAATGCCCTTCAGAAAAAATAATTTTATAGTATATACAACTAAATAAAGTGCAGGTAAGGGACGGGCAAATAGGGAAGGGAGGACCAAAAGGCATGCAACTTTCTTCTGATGTCATTTTTGTCCTTTTCTGGACTTTGTCTTTCTTTTTTTTTTTCCTCTTGCCTTTGTTTTTCCCTTTTGTTAAAATCGTTATCTGTTTTAATGCCAAGTAAAATAAAGTAAAATTTAGTAACCGATAATTAGACTAGACTTAAATGAATTGTAACTGTTTATAAAGAATAAAGGAAAAAAAACGCATAGCAAAAGGAATGAAATTCCGTCTGTTGTTAGGATAGGTCAAATTGAAAATCTTGTCAGAGCCAAAAATATGTGGATTAAAAACGCCCAAAGATTAGGAGAACTTCAATAGCCTGAACCTGCTTTTAGTAACTTTAAAGCACTAAACTGTAACAATGCAAAATACTTGTGTTTGATTCGTTTGTATATTTATAATCTTTTCAGGAACACCTCCACCACCAACAACGACACCACCTCCGCCAACAACGACACCAGGTATGAAAGATAGAACATGTTTATTCACAAGCAAAATTTTACTTTTAAGGCACAACATTCAGTTATTTAATGTGTGTTTTTTTATTGAAAATATAGATATTTGATTTATCTTTTGAAAGAATAAATGTCCGCGAAGGATCTGTGTCTGAAACCCTGTTTCCAGCAATGTTCGGTATAGGAAAGAGAACTATCGGCCTCCACCAATGTGGCCTGGTTCAAATCCTGGCGTCAGTTCATTGAGTGGGTTGAGTTTTCTTCAGTTTTCTTTCCTGCTCTGGGACGTTTCCACAACATACTCAGGTTTTCTTCCCATACACTAACACATGCATGGCTTAGTCTAATTTTGGTGTGGGCAGGAGTGTCCTTGTATCTGCAGATAACCGGGTGACTTGTAACACCAGTCCTGTTGCTTTCTTTGTCGGGCTGAGTTAACGTTGCCCCGTTTCCTGTTTAGCACCAAATCCATGCAGCAGCTTTCACGTTCTTGACGGTTTCAACCGTAGCGTGGCAAATATAGATCAAAAGAACCTGAGATGTGACCAGAGACACCTGCATCCTTTACCAGCCTGGTATCGCTTCACTGGCGAAGCTGGCGACAAACTGCCAACATCCTGTGTACCAAAACGACGCTGTGGTACGCATGCTCCGGGCTGGCTGAACGGTTCACACCCATCAGTAGGACAAGGCATTGTTACTCGTCGAGTTTGTTATCATTGGGGTTCTAGATGTTGCAACTGGAAAAACGATATTCAGATCCAAAACTGTGGTGCTTTCTACGTGTATCGGTTAGTTAAGCCTCCTGTTTGTTGGCTGCGTTACTGCGGTAATAATGAAGGTGAGCTTTTTTTTCCCTTCTCATGTTTTTGGGACAACAATTATTGAAGGTGCACCATAAAAAAAGCTGCCCATGCAAGAGTTTGGTTAACTTTGTTTAAATTTTACTTGAGGACACCTTTGGCGAAAATTTGGATTACCGTTGGTGTGGGTCAAAACCTTTCCCGTTCTTCTATTGCTTCGGACTTAATCCTTTACGCTGAAGCATTTTGTTCTGTCCTCTCTAATGTTCTGCTAGCGCTTGTGATATTAACAATTCGTGAATCTGGTAAACAGGCAAATGAGGTGCTTTTGGCTGCTTAAGAAATCTCAGCTTGGGTTTGGGTGAATTTGTTTATAGCCCGTGTTTCAGCAAATTATCAGCAAAAATTGTTTCTTTTTTGGGATTGGGTCATTAATGTGCGGAAAACTCAAACAAAAAGAAACAACGACGGCTCTAAACAACGCAGTAGCCTGAGAATACCGCCCATGATATTTCCCGACGCCATCATTGCTGGTTTCCCTTCATTTCGACCATCAGAAGTACTACCCAGATCTGACACGTCGTCAGCATGGAGTTTCTGCATTCCTTAGGGAAACCACTGGAAACGTCGCGAAATGACAGCTATTTCCTGTACCTGTAAACACTGGTGGACCATGATAATATAGAATCCATGCTATGAATTCAAAAAAATATGTCATTGTCTTTTTTCTTTTTTTTATTTCTTTATTTTTTATTTGGGAATAAAAGGGGAACAATTTCTTCACCTCTGCAATTCACTGCTTTTAGTTTAAAATCGAATTTTAATGCTTCTCACGATAGGAATATATTAATGTAACACTCTGTATGTTATGCCTTTCCTTTCAGGCCTCACAACGACACCGCCATCAGCAACCTCACCCACTCCACGAGGTAAAAAAAATTACTTTTCATTTTACTAATTAGCCTGGCGACAAATAATGCATCTTGGAATGTCAAACATATTTCATAACCTTACTGCATTTAAATCATCAATAGACACATCCGCTTCATTCATTTAAAGAATATCTGCTGAGTAGTCCGTTTGTATTTCGATTGGTTCAGTAATTTCGCATACAGCCTTTCCACCATCGTTTAATGCAATATCGTTGCTTTGTGTTATCTGGAGCTTCGCTTTTAGCCCTGGATCTATATACTATATCCATTCATCTGTACGTGTTTCCTGCTATCGATCCACTTATATGTGACAAACGGCGTATTTGTCCATGTCATTCTTTTATCCCCTACGTATAGATCTGATCCATTTCAGTGCTTATTGAGTACATCCATTGATTAGTGAAAGCATGAATCCATCTATCTGTTCTATTCATCTTCCTCATTGTCGCGAATACTAAGGAACGCATATTAAGGCAACCGCAACGGTAAATGATAAACCAACGAAGAACTCAAAGTAGATTTCAAAACAACGTTTCATCGATTATGCTTACTTTTTGACTTACACATTCTCCCGTTCTGTAGGTGTTAACCTCACATGTGGCAAGAACGAAATGTGGATAAGCATACCAAAATACATCCTTCATGGCCTAGACAGGGAACATCTTCGTCTAAATGACCTAAAATGTGGAGCCAAAGAAACCAAAAGTCACTTCATTTTACATACCAAACTGACAGAATGCCACACGTTGAGTAGGAGTACCAAACATTTCGTCAGCTACACCAATAATGTATTAGAAATCCCAGTGGCTCCTCATCAGATCATCACACGAGTGCGAGAGGTGGAGATTCCCTTCACCTGTTATTACTCAAATGCAGGGGTAGTTTCCTCTGTTGGCCTTGAAGTAAAGAGCAAGAAGATCATCTTCTCCAAGAAAGGACTTGGAAAATTTGTTCTGGAGATGAATATCTTCCCAGACAATCGGTATCTCGGCCATTACACGAAAAAGGACTTCCCAGTAAAGGTTCCCCTCAGGAAGACGCTCTATGCAAAGATAGGGGTGGATACACAGGATAATAGACTGGAGATTTTGGGAGAAGAATGTTTTGCTACACCGGATCCGGACCCAAGTAAACCTGGAGTGTCCAAGTATACCTTCATAAAAGACGGGTAAGGACCATTTCACCAAATGCGCGCGCATAGCGGCATGGTTGACTGCCGTCCAACGTGCAACAAAAATACGGTTAATCGATCATCATCGTCATCGTCATGATCATGGTCATGGTCGCCGTCATCTTCATCATCATGATGTTGCTGCTGCTGCTGATGATGATGATTATTATTATTAGCCAACACGAAATCCATACCGGACGGACTGTTCTGTAATTTCTGCGCTATTTCTTAACGGAGAGAAGCTGCGCCGTGCAGATCTCTAAAGTGGAGTGCCACGGCATATCAGATAGGTGCTCCTACTATAACGAATAGCTTTTCGTGTTGTCACAAAAAGCTATCCAGTACTGGTGTGAACATAGCCTTAATAGTATAAAATAGTAGTACGTTTAACACTTTACCCTTCATCTAGTAACCTCCTCTGCCTTGTCTGCTTTTGGTGCTGCGGTACTTCACTAAAGGCATTGTAACATATCATGTTTCTCCTCAATAACTATTCCTTTCTTTTTTCCTACAGATGCGCAATAGATAAAACGGTCAAATTCCACCCAACAAATGACAAACGTACACAGAAATTCAGTCTAGAGGCCTTCGCCTTCGTGGGTGATCATATGTTTGTCTATATGCACTGCAGAGTGAAGATCTGTAACGCGTCTGACCCTAACTCGCGCTGCGCACAAGGATGTATCCGACGGGCTAAGAGAGCCGTAACGACTCTGGAATCTAAGGATGATGAAGTCACTCTCGCCGAAGGACCCTTCATGCGAGAAGACAGCGATGAGAAAACAGAGCTTGAAGAAACAGAAAAAGAACCCCGTGCTTTGAAGAAAGGTGGTAAGTTCAAAATTCATTCCATTTCGGCTAACAATCAGGCCCCGGTTGTTCAAACGTTGGATAGCGCTATCCATCGGATAAATCACTATCCAGCGGATAAGTATTAGGAAAACCGATTGCACTATCCAGTGGATAGAGATTTATCCACTGGATAGCGCTATCCAACGTTTGAACAACCGGGACCAGGCAATCTTCCCTAACCCTAACCTTAATAGACCATATCCGAGTTCCAAAACTCACTTTCAACGCGAAGCTAAGTGAAAAACCTTCCTTGTGAAAATGAGTTCTATTTGCATGAGAACAAAATAACTCTTTTCGGATCAATGGCTTCGCACTTTCAGCCTCGCTTTGAAACAGATTGTCGGGCATCTCAGAAAAGTCCCATTATTTATTGTGTCGGTGAACCATCGAAAGGTTTTTCTGAATGACTCTGATGTTTATGGATCACCTTCGGAATTTAATCTGAAATACACGGTTAGTGCAATGAAATAAGGAGAAGACACATTCTCTGTTTGAAACTTACCTGCATAAGCAATCGCGGACCGAAAAATACAAATTCTGATAAACTGACTAGAATGTAATAATCAGCGATTGCCTGCGGACCTACTTTTGTCGCGCATTTTTGATCAAATCGCTATTGGCGACCTCAGCGCAACCACATCGACGAAAAACCAAAAAAAAAAGCAATATGTTAAATAAGGAAAACAATTTCAGAAGATGTAGCACACTTTTTGGCAGATTTATTTTCTGTCATTGTGCGACTAACCTTGTCAAAGTTGAATAGAATGGCAACGCGACTGTCACTTTAATCTCGAAAATCGTCGCTGTGTCAATAGCGAACTTTGCGACCTCAACGTCGTCAAACAACCAATAGAGAGGCTCAATTATACGCTGAGTTATACCATTCATGGAAACTAATGCGGGCACTGGTTGGCCGCAGATCAAGATGTTGATTGGCTCTATCTTTCTTTTCTTACTTTACAGGTCGAAGTACCGCTGTCAACATCGCCTTAGTAGCAGCTGTGGCGGTCTGTGTTATGGGTGTTGCTTACCTACTGTATGAAAGAAAGAAGGTCAAAAGTCAACAGGAATATCGGCCTTTAACTGTCGCTGCTCAATGAAAAATTGCATTAGATTTTTAGACTGTTTCAGTAATAAAGCACTGCACTACTATACGCAACCCATTTGGTCACTAAGGTTAAATAAGCTTAATTGCTTTGAGTCTCGCAAATTCGAGATTTTACCAAAATGCGCATTGTATCCTGTCAATTGGCCAGTTACTGTAAGGTAGACTTGATAGGTAAGAGTTCTTATCCTTTTCCAAGGATGTGATCATGAAACAATTCGCCTCTTAAACTACGATTCTACATACATAGTTATCTTTACAAGCGCTTGGAATGCTATTGTTCCAGATCGAGACAAAAATATGCGTACGCATCGCATAATTGTTGTAATTTCCTTCACAAAACAAGATAGCGATCGAGCTATATCAGTGGAAATATATGTGATCACCAAATCCCCTAGGAAAGAAATAACATGAAAGAGGGCTTTCTCCGGAGCCACGGTTGTGGAGCAATAACACAAAAAAGGCGAAGACGTTGGAAACTACTTTTTATTCCTTCTCTAAAGAGGAGAAATTAAAATTTCCATCCCTTTCAAATCTCTGTATCTCATGTGTGTGTATGAGGCCCATTCTGGTCAAAATCATGACAATAAAATTGCAGTACAAGTCAGTTTTAATCTTGCACTGCAGCAAATATTATGGAGCTGTTGCCTATTTTTGTCATCAATAAACAATACCTTTTTAGCGTGTTAGTAATTATTTTTAGCAAAATGAGAATTTTTTCATTCATACCATGAATTATTTTTCAGTGGTACTTCGAATTATTTTTCTAATGTGTATTGAGAATTATTTTTTCATTGGGCCGAGAATTATTTTTCGCGGTATCGCGAAGTCATTTTTGAGCCTACAATGCTTTGTTGGCGTTGCAGTTGCAGTGGACTGGTTCGAGTTTTTGGACGATTTCCATTCACCCCAAAATTTTGGAAATTTTGGTTGGTACATCAAAGGGATCGGACCATTTCGGTTTGGTCCGACCGGGATACTCGAGACCAGCTTTGAAGGTGGTCCACTTTGACCGGTCTGGTCATTTCGGTCGGTCGGACCAGAATGTCTCTTTCCATTTGTCAAAATTGTTGCCCCCAGTACTGCACTTTTGTATCCTGCTTACATCAACAAGTAGTTTCCAATGCCAAGTGAATTGCTGTGAGTAAAGCATGACATCTCAAATTAAGTTTAAATCAGTTGCAATTTCTTTCGATTTTTGATATTTGCCTCTAACAGTGTCAAATAACTGACGCAACGCGACACGTAGGTGAAAAGAAGTGTCAGCATACTATTCAGTCTGAAACCTGTCCACGATATTTAACCAAAGCAATTTATCAATTAAGCTGAAATAAATACAACAAAGTCTGGTTGAACACAAATTTGGTCAAAACAACGATTTTATTCACCGTACAGTTCTATGAAATGCTTCTAATTGTTCGAATATTCTGAGAAACGTATTGCTTCAATTCACGAGAATTTTTTACCTTCACTTGCATTCATACTCTTCGCTTGGCTTTCCACACGAAATAGGATTCGTCCTCCCTTCGTTTTCCACCGCCTCTTTTCGACAGTCGAGGATATAAGCAGTATTTACTTTTCTCTTTTAGAGTGTAATTTTGATTTTTGAGTCTACGCGCGGTGGCTTGGGTCGGGTCTGTGAAACCGCATTTGACTTCCTTGGGCGACCATTTTGAAAACTTTGAAGTGGAGGAGTGCTTTCAAAGAGAATGCTACGGCGAAACATTGTCAGGGAAAGAAACCAAAGAGGTTATCATCTTTCTTACAAAATCTGTTAGGAGCCAGTAGTCTGTGCGTTCGTGATGAGGTTTTCTGGACCGAAGATTTAATAGAGGAGACGTACGAAACGACTTTACGATTCGTACACAATTGTAACCCTTACTGAACATGACATGTCTGCCCAATTGAACAGTTCTCTACCCATTCTTATACCTCGAGTCTTCGTCCCGTACTACACATGCTGGCTTTCAAAACGAAGATGCTGTGAAGGAGAGTGCCCCCTACCTTGAACTTCAGGAAGGATCTACCGATTCTAATGCTGACGGGCGGGCATAAGGACTAGCAGAGCCAAATGGATTCGAGGTAGAAGACCCTCGCGGAGTGCTAGTGAGAGTAGGACTGTTGTTGTTGACAGTGACTGAGGTTTCGACAACCTGTGAAGTAGTCATCTTCAGAGTCAAAGCGAGTTGTATAACATGACTAGAATAACGTATTCTAAAGACTACTGTGAACGTCTTACTTTAAAAAGCTGGTTTACTAACTTAAAACAAACGCCAGTGAATCGTAGCCAACAGTTACCAGCGCGGTACAAACGACTTACTGACGAGATCAAGTAAAACTAACTACGAGAGAACGACTGGAGAACTGACAACTTGAATAACAATAGGCGACTGTGACAATAAACGGATCGAAAGGCACCAATCACTGATTACGAGTCTTCATAGCCAATAACATCACGGCTTAACTGACAGACGACCAATAACATCGGGACGTAATTGACCAATCAGATCAATAACCAGGGTACAATACCATCAACTGACGTGATACAACTTAGCTACAGTTCCAAAAGGAGACAAAAAAGCTGAGATCTCCGAATTACAACCCGGGATTATATTGTTTGTTATGAACATCGCAATTGCAACCGGTTTTTAATCTCATGCGGTGAAGTTCTTCGCTGCAGCCATTCAAGTTCACTGTTACGGCGACCCAGTTCAGATTCTGAACTGATTTCTCGCATAGAAATGAGGTTGCTTGCTTGTGTGACCAGAGGTTCGTCTCGGGAGCCTTATCAAACCGTAAGCACGGCTTATTTCATTATTAGGTATTTTGAGAACGGACTTCTGGAGCCAGGGTAGCAATCGCTGGGTAGAGCAGATATATCAGAAGCAGTGGTGGATCCAGTACTTAAGATGGGGGGGGGGCGTCTCCAAAAACATTTTTTTCGGCCCTATGGGTCTCAGTTCGGTCTAAAAATAAGGGGGGCGCTCCCCTGGATTCGCCACTGAGAAGGAGAACAGTGGTGGCAGTTAGTTAAAAAAGTTAAAGGGAACTGAATTTCCCACTACCAAAGATTGATTTGTTGTAATAATGTTAAACAAGATGCTGTAATACAGTAAAAGGCATGTAACCATAACAGTGGAAAGAAAACCCTTTGATGCTAGACTCCAAAGATATTGCACAAAGGAGCTCAAAGGAGTATTTGGATGTTGCCTTGAACTGAAAGCAGGTCTTGTAAAGACGTTCAAGCAGATATAAAAACAATTTTATAATAAAAACAGAAGGAAAGAGAATAATATCCAGCAAATAATTGTGTTTGGCTTTACTTTGCAATTGGCCTTGAACAAGTGTTGTCCAGTTCATTAGGACGATGACTGGAACTACAACACAAACCAGAGTCGAATAAAGTAAATTGGATAAGAGGATGAGATGGAAAAGCTGTAAAGCTGTAAGCTGTTGTAAACACGAGCATAATAACAGTAACATTGCCCACTGAAGCACACCCAAATTTGAATAAATTTTAGTGACAAAGACGTGCCCCACTCCATTAGCATGCCATTTTTTAATTGGAGTTTGGCAGAAACTTGAAGGGATATAAAGTCTGTACGGAAGCCTTGCAAAGTTTTGTAATGCTTCTGAAATAGAAGCCATTATGACATGACTGTATAAAACAGATTCCACAGTTAAGATGGAGAAAGAAAAAGCATTTTTCAGGGAAAAAACAACTAATGTTGAAGGCTAAATCATAAAGCAAAATTGTTGTTACCAATAATACAAAAAGTACCATTTTTTTTATTCATGATTGGTTTCTTTATATTTTCTTCAAAATAATTATTATTTACAGTACAATTAACAATTATTCCACGAGGGCGCGTTGGA